TTACAATCTCTCTTCATAACCACGAAAACTAAAATAATCCATCCTTACCAGTAATCAGAATTAGAGGAGGAAGGTAGAGGTATCAGGTATAGATTATTATAGTACCTGAAGTTAAATATATTTTAGAAGGAAGATGACTTCTGGTATGTAAAGGCGGCGGCAGAGCGTGGGCCGGTACGATGGTTCGGCATAGACGGAGTGGTGGTTGTATCAGATTTGGCTTTTATCTTTGTCTATAGTAATCTGTAGATACTTGCCACTGTCTTCATCTCTCTCTTTATTATTTATTATTTCAGAATTCTTTCTGACATCAGTTGGTGACCAGTAGGAGGTCACCCTTGAAATAACTCATTTTAAATATTAAACAATGGTTTGTTTGGATTTCATTTTGTTCTGCTAAGTAGTTCATTTTTAGAGTCAAATTTTAATTTTAGCATCACATTAAGTACTACTAGTTTATTTACCACTCATTGTACTAATATATACTTTTAACAAAACTAATTAAAACACGATCAATGCATTAGTGAATATTTCATAAATAAATAAGTACTACTCATTTATATCAATTTATACTTTTAACAAAACAAAATGAAACGCAATCAATGACTTAGGTAAATATTGAAAATTCTCTGAAAAATGAAGCGAGGCATGTTAAAAACTAAAAGAGATAGCTCATGAACTCGATGCTATCAGATTTTTATTGCGACATGCCGTTTAAGATAGATAACTCTTCTTTTAAAATAATATAACACAATATTAATTTTGACTGGCAAATCGGAGCTTAACTATACTCTTCTTAACGAAAATTATTCCGAACTTCTCAAAGATTTGAAAACTAAAAACTTGAAACTAATTTCAAATTTTAAGGAATAATACTCGTAGAGAAAGATGAAAGAAATCGATATATTTAAATTAATTTGGAGTGAATGAGAATGAAATAAAATGAGTACAATTTATAAATTTCAATGTGTTTATTCAAAATGGTTATATCTATTAGAATCCATGTACCTTTCAGCACAAGTAAATTTGGACCATTGGCATAAGTCAATCCAAATTTCATTGGGGGTGATGACAGAATGATAATTTGAGTGAGTTGAGGGTCTCGAATTTGTGAACCGATGGCTAGAGTGAAGGTCATGGATTTGTGAACAAGTGGCAGGTTACTGCCAGATGTTGTGGGTGGTGTCAACAATGATGAGTGGAAATAGTGACGACAATCTATTGGTGGTGGGGTGTTGGAGTCTTCGAGAAGAGGACTTCATTTATATTTAAAAATTTGTGTTTGATGAAAATTAAAATCAAACTTTTTAGCGAATTTTAATAAAAGTGAACGAAATGCCTGATCAAAAAATTGTGAATCTCATGAATATGATTAAAATTAATTATTGACTTTGATTTTGATCAAAATCTCTGAAACAATGGCAAAAAAAACTTTTATTTCTTCAGTAATTGTTTCTAAAATAATCACATTTTTGATAGGTTTGAAGACTAAGCAACTTAAAATTTGATATCTAAATCAAAGTTTAAACCTCCAATTTGATCTTAAATATTTTTTTATATAGGTTTGGAGACTATGCCGCTTAAAATTTGAAATCTAAATCGAAGTTTAAATCCCTATAGTTAATTTGATCGAACACAAAATCAACAATTAATTTCAACCACATATTTCACAAAATTTACAATTTTTCAATTATACATACCAATTTTTATTATAATTTACTAAAAATCTGATTAAATTTCATAAAATTTAGGACTTTTCAATTATATATACCAATTTTCATGATTTTAATCCCGACTAAACATGAACTAAATATTTTTTTCTGAAATTTTTAGGACTAATGCAATCTTTCATCTTTCTTCTCTTTTAATTTATTTAAAGATGAAGGTAATTTTTTAATTCCACTCGACTTCAATAACCAAATCGGAAAATTTTTGTCAACACTGTGGTGAACGACCCATCCATGCCTATTTTCCTCAAATGTGAGGATTTCTGGTGTCATTTTTAAAGGTTGAGTACACATCTGAAACATTTTAAAAATGTATTCCTTTTTTTTTTTTTACCTCCAATTATTTGCTTGCATACATCTCCCCAATACTCAAAATTCTACCATTCGAAAGATTAACATCGTTTACAGGGGAACAAAAACTTCATTTCCATCATTATTATGAATCACACACATTCATAAAAAATGACTAAAAACTTCAATCTTTCTTCTCGTCACGTTCTCCTGCATGCCGCCTCAACTCTATAACTTCTTCATCCATCGCTACCTCCTCATGCTCTCTCGCCGGCTTCCTTACATGGTCTTCAATATAATCATCAACAGATTCTTTCTCGTCATCGGATTTTCCAACCACAGTCTCCTTCATCTTCTGACCAGTCTCCTTAGCAGCCCCCAAAGCGTCTTGCATTGTTTGCTTTGCCTTCTCTCCTAAACCCATTGCTGTCTCGACTGCTTTTTGTGCTCCTTCTTTGGTATTATCAGCCACAGTCTCCGTCGCGCCCTTAGTCTTCTCCTCTACATCGTATGCGTATTCTTTGGTCTTTCCAGCCACAGTTCCAGCAGCATCCTTTGTCTTCTCTTTTGCGTCGTACGCATATTCTTTTGCCTTCTCAGTCACCGTCCCAGCAGCGTCCTTGGTTTTCTCCTTTGTCTCGAAGGCCTTATCGGCAATAGTACCTGTTAGAAATTATAAACAGAATATATTTAAAACCGAAACAAAGGATAATTTAACTCATATAACTGTTCTGCCTATTAATCACAGTACCAGCTGTGTCCTTAGTCTTCTCCTTTAATTCATGAGCTTTTTCTTTCGCCTTCGCTTTTCCCTCATAAGCGGTTTCAGCCGCTCGGTCTTTCGCTTCTTTGGCCTTCTCGGCCTCCTTGTCCGACCGCTCCTTTGCTTTCTCCTTCACTTCTTCTGCCTGCTCATTAGTCTTCTCAGCCATCTCATAATCCTGATCTTTTGGTTCTTCAACAGCCTCATCGGCATTGTAGGGACTGTATTCTCTTTTCCTACTTTCATCAGCATTCCGTCCCTGATCAACAAGTGTACATACAGTACGTGAAACTGTATGAGCATAGAAACAAGTTCAGATGAAAATTTAAAGAATGGGAAGTGGCGGTGCATACCTCAGAATATTTAGAGGCAGAAGTAAAGCAAACCCTGGAGACTTTGCGAGGCAGAAGTCGCGAAGGGGTCTGAGAAAAACCCTTTGGAAGTTTAAAAATCGTGTTATTCACGAAAGAAATTGCAGCCATTGACAGAACCGATCTACAAATCTGCGTTTTTGTAAGAGTATTGTGTGTTATAAGATGGAGGGGAGAGAGAGGTGGCGACGTAAAAGTTTGACACGCGTAATTTGTCTTTGCCACGTATAGGATTGCGATGCATGGGAAGTTGCGACAGTCAACACTTGTTTCTGTAACTTATTTTTCTTGGATTAATCTGATATTCACAGATAAATAAGCATAGAAACAAGTTCAGATGAAAATTTAAAGAATGGGAAGTGGCGGTGCATACCTCAGAATATTTAGAGGCAGAAGTAAAGCAAACCCTGGAGACTCTGCGAGGCAGAAGTCGCGAAGGGGTCTGAGAAAAACCCTTTGGAAGTTTAAAAATTGTGTTATTCACGAAAGAAATTGCAGCCATTGACAGAACCGATCTACAAATCTGCGTTTTTGTAAGAGTATTGTGTGTTATAAGATGGAGGGGAGAGAGAGGTGGCGACGTAAAAGTTTGACACGCGTAATTTGTCTTTGCCACGTATAGGATTGCGATGCATGGGAAGTTGCGACAGTCAACACTTGTTTCTGTAACTTATTTTTCTTGGATTAATCTGATATTCACAGATAAATCTTGAACTTCAATGATGAATTTGGGAAAATTGCAGCAGCGTCTCAACATTTTTAAGAAAATCGATTAATTTCTTAAATCTTTAAGCCCATGTTTCAACTCCATTATAAAAATTGTTTTGGTTCGAACTACGAACCTGCGAAGTGTGCTTCCACAATTTTATAAGATGAAAACGTGTTTTATATATTGACAACTCTTTAAATGAATCTTAACGGTTGGATTTCTGACATGTGACACTCTCCTAACCGGTTGATGAGACTTCCAGACTCTTCTGATTTATAACCTAATCTAACGTTTGGATTAATAGATCGATTCATTTTCTTGGTTCATCCATTCCTCTGCTGTAAAGAGAGAAATCCTCATTCCCTAACTATGATTTCACAATTCTGTGTGATCTAAGTGTGTAAATGATGAAATCTTCGAGGGATAATTCAGATCGAGTGTTTACTTTGTATTTTTAAGTGACTGTTGATGTGAATCTAAGGGATTCTGTTATTCTGTTGATCTATGGAGGTAAACACGGAACTTGAGTGTTTTGTTGTGATTCTTGGTAATAGGACGTTGATCGATCTTGGCTCATTTGTAAAGATAAGTCTCAGTGACTTTATCTAGGTGTTTTCTAAATTGGCTGTAATTTGGCTGCCATATTTTTGGTTTATAGTGCAATCGAACTTTATCCATTTATAATGGATGCTTAACAGGAAATTAGGCGTTAAATGTGGTTGAACCTATGGGGTTTTGGCCGAAAAAAATTCCTTTGTGTTGATTTTTAGTTTCTACAATTTTTTGTATTTGATGTGTTGTTGGTTTATTTGATTATTGACTAATCTTGGAGTATCAACCATCCTTTTCAAAAATTTATTTTTTTAAACTCATTTTTAATCACAAATCTTTCCAATAAAATAATTTTGCGTAAACAAAAAAATAATAAAAAAATCCTATGTTTAACCACATATTCTTTAAATTATCACTCTTACAAAACTTATTTTTATAAAATTGAGACTTAAACAGGGCTAAGTTTAACCACATATTCTTTAAATTATCACTCTTACAAAACTTGTTTTTATAAAATTGAGACTTAAACAGGGCTAAGACTTGACCCGTGAGTTTTAACTTTTATATTGTGTTAATAGCAATCTTATGAATGGGATCCATCTAAAATTACGTCATATAAATACAAGAAAATGGTTTCAACTCTGCATGAACATGTTCAATGACAAAATTTTTAAATGGTACACATGTCATTTTTTCGTTGGACAGTTAAAAAAAAAAGGAAAGAAAGAAAAGCAGCCACATTGCAACTTTCACCAATCCCTCTCAAATATCCCTGTTCATGTAGCATTATTCAAATGTTTTAAGGGCGAATGATACTTTGTAAATTTATACAAAATTTCATATAAATTATAATGTACTTAAACTTGTACTTGTATGATAATTTATTTTTTAAAACAAGGCCTGTTGAATTAAAGTCAAGTTTAATAGTATTCAGAGACATATTTAAAAATATTGATTTTAAACTCCACCAATTAATTATAATGAGGGGTGAATCCATCGTCTCGAGTGAGTTAGGACGATCCATGACTATCAAGCATAGCCGGTCCTGGGCCGAGGCATTTGAGGCCTATGCCTCAGGCCCAAAACCAAAGGGGGCCTAATTTTGGCCCCTTTTTTTTATTTTTTTTTAAGGGTTTAGAGAGTTAAAGGCAAAATTGATTTTTCATTCGTTTTTCCTCATGCCTATGATAATGCGACCGACGATCCATTTTAATTTTATCAAGACAAGGTCACAAATTTTTTGGAACAACTCTAGAGTCTATGTGTCATTTTAATTTTGTATTGTTTCTGTAAATTTGTAATGCTCAAATTTTTGCGCAAATAATTGAAAATGTTATTGGATGTGCAAAATGGAAAATGAAAATTTGTTCAACATATCTAGATCCAAGAATGTGTGTCTTACTTGAACCTGCATCACGTTTGATATCTATTTACTATTTAGAGTCCCTGACTGGCATAAGGCAATAGGGCATTGTTTAATGATGAAATTTTTATTCTAGGTTTATGAATTGTGACAGTAGAATTCTCAAGGGTGTGATTCCATAGTTTTCATCGAAATTTTACTTCTCAATTCAACAATGACTTGCCCTAGCTTGCTATTGAATATGTTGAAAATGTTTGAAGTCGTGTCGGCTTATATAATAGTAGTCCGGTCGGTTTATATGATTGGTTATTTTATGTTCAACAATTGCATAATCGTACATAGTAACTATATTGAAAACTCTAATTGTAAGATGATCGAGATATTTCGTAATTGTCTTTTAGGTTAATCATTGGGCATTAGGTTGCATTATATACTGTTGAAATAATATATTTGTTTGTTATTTTAATATTGAGTTTTAAATTAGTAATAGGCCGCAAGATATATCGTTAAATTTTGTATTTACATTGATTTTGTCGAGGGCCCAATTTATGAACTTCACCTCGGGCCCCGATGATCACAGGACCGGCCCTGCTATTAAGGACCGTAATAATGATATTGTTTGTTAATATTTAATCATAATACTAATAACTCAACAGAAAATATAGAAATATTAACTAATTAAATAAAAAAATATTTTAATTCTTTTACAAGATATAATTTACCCACTTAAAGAACATAAAAAGAGTGTGGCAGGCTGATTACCAGTTTCAACCAAATATTCACATTAGAATCCACCTTGAAAATTAAGAAAAAATGTATATCTATTCTATGATCTATTGATAACTCAAAACTTAAAACCTTCAATTTAGTTCCATCAAAACTTCAATATTTATCAAGTGGTAGATACAAGTTCAATCACTACAAGACCTCAACCTCTTAATAGATAAAAAAATTATTTTTTCATCAAAATCAATTCAAAATTTAAAATATATGGTGTACACTCCCTTGCAAAATCCTTTTAATAAATTCAAAATATCTATTTATATAATAAACTAAATTACAAGAAAATTCACCTGGGATTTCCAATTTGCTTCTGCATCCTTCTTCTGTTTACTCACAACCTAATCATCCTACATATAATAAAAATCAATCAAGTCAAATCAATATCTCAGTCAAAAATTCTGTATATTAAAAAAAAGCCGTGCTATGTGTACACTGGTGCACAAGCCCCTCATAAGAAGAGGGACTGGACTTTTTATTATTATTATTATTATTGGGAGAGGGCCCCTCCTCATGTGAGGGGCGTGAACTTTCCATGTACAAATAGCAAATTTTATTAAAAAAACAACCACAATTATCTGGTTGTGAGAAATGCCGGTGAAGCTAGGGGGATTTGGGTGTTGCCAGTGGAATTGTCTGTAAATTGACAATCCAGTTGCAGCTGAATTGTGAGAAGTACTGGTGAAAGTCAAATAGGGTTTGGAATTACTTGGATGTGTTTCGAAAATTGCAATTAAATTGTGAATTAATGTAACAATTAAGTCCCTGTTCGTGCTCCATTAATTCAAAAATTCAATTTTCTCTCTCGTCTTTTTAGTCACATATGCTTCAATAAAATAATATTATTTGTAAACTTGAATTTTTTTTTCTTTCTTTAATCACATATTTTTCAAAAAATTACTATTATCAAATACATTTTTCAAAAATTTAATTATAAAGGGGCTAAACAAGACAAAACCAAGCAGACTGCAAGCAATGGGTTGGGCAATTTCTCTCTTTCATTTTTTTTTTTTTTTAAAAGGGAAAATGCCATATACAAGAGATTAAGTATAACCTATTTCAAAACTAAGAAACAAGGTTTTAGACTTAAAAAATTAGATATTAATTAAATTTATTTATGAAATAATTAATTAAAAATATTTTTTATTAATTAAATATATTAAGGTAATAGTTCTATAAAATTTGATCACAATTATCGAATTAATCAATCATAAAATATTTCTTGGTCACAAATCAAAAATTTTATCGATCATAAATAACAAATTTTACAAGTCACAGATTATTTATCAGCCACAAATAAAAAAATTTATAGGTCACAAATTATTTCTCAATCACAAATAACAAATTTTATAAGACACAATTTATTTGTTGGTCACAAATCACAAATTTTATAAATTACAACTTATTTAACGGTTACAAATTTTAATAAATTGTGAGTCACAATCATATTTTCAGGTCACACACACACACAGACGTACGTGTGTGTGTGTGACCTCAATTTATTGTTCACAATCAACCAATTAATTAACCCACGACCACCACCATCACCGTTACCATAACCACCCACATCACCAAACCTCGTAAAACCACTACTACAGCAACCACAACACTACAACACACCAAGCAACAGGAAAGTCGCCATCACAGTAACACAAACCATAACCACAACACGCAAACAACCACCATATCGTGGCATCACCAAACATTCGGCACCAAATCGTGAGCTTCGTGCGCACCTCCACCTCCACCACAGCCACAACCACAACCACAACCACAACTATCCCTTTTCTTCTCTCTTCCTCTCCGGCTAATCTATAAAATCAGTCACATGTGACTAGAAAAAAATGGAAGACAAGTAACACCTCCAATTTGTAGATGACGACGAAGAAGAATTGGAAGAAAGTACACCCACGATCGACAACACCTTCTCACGTATCACCGCTTGCAATGTCAAGGCTTTGAGATCCTTCACCACCACAGCCAACAGTCATAACCCAATATCCAACACTGAGTGCCATGAGATCCTCAACGGCGTCACTATTTCATCGACTGATATTCAAATTATTGTTGAGCTTTTCAAACTTCCTCCTTGGCTATCGATGATTATAAAATTCGGTAAAGCCAACGCCGGATGCTAGCTCCACCACTGACTATATTTAAGTAGCTCAAATGAAGCATTACAAGGTACCCAAATGATAAATTGGAGAGTTGCTATAATGACACCGCGTTTTCCAATAAATGTATCATATTTTAACTGAATTATAGATTCTTGATTTTTGTTTACAGCCCTGTTTAAGTTCTTAACTTTGTCATTGTATTATTATTTTTAGTCTTTCGTTGAATACCATATATTGTCATCATTATATTTTTGTCTAAAAAATCTATAAGTATACCTTAAAATGAAGGATAAATATTCAGTCCATACCATTTATTAGCCATAAAGAGCAAGTCTCTCTCTTTCTGTATTGGGAAGTGCTACATGTACATAATTATCTACATAATGATGTCCATAATTACATGTGGTATTGAATCCAACCTTTAATTCAAATCTCACACTTTTACATCAACAATCGAATGATTGTCACATTACATTATGGACAACATTATGTGCAATAATTATGTACATGTAGATTTTTCCTTCTGTATTTATATACACATGCACGTATATATGTATTCAAGTACGAATGTGTATAGAAAGATATATACGATAGTAAAATCTTCGTCCTTGTTTGGCTCTGATTTTAATTTGAGTCAAAACCAAATAATCAATATTAACCACATCTTTCATGGCTTTCACAACTTTTCAACCACACATTTCTAAAATTTCTATCAAAATCTATTAAAAATCTAATTTTAATCCCAACAAACAACCTCAAAAAATCCTTTTTTAATTATTTACTGCTGTAAAAATCTCACATCATAGGCCTAAAAGAAAGGATTTTTCCATTCAAACAGGGCCAATAACAGGCCATGTTGACAGCCCGAGGTGTTGCCAACACCTCGGCTCTTGATTGTTATACTGCAAGCTCCATGAAATTCAAGATCAAGGGCCGATGTATTTGCCACCTCGGCCTAAATTTAAACTTGGAATTTAATCCCGATTTTTGTAACAGGTCTGTAAAAGAAAGCTGTGACACATGCAGTACTTTAAATATCACGCACGATCTCAAAGATAGTACTAAAATCCTGCACCTAGAGGTGGCATGCCACTTTCTTTGCTGGCTCAAAAGGCGAATGATCCAACTGTGAAAAGCTCAAATGGAAGTGGCTTTCGGCTGGGCATCAAGATGGCACCAATGACTCCGCTGCCCATATTGGTTGGGACGCTGCATGTAGCCAACGGTGATGAAATTGAAACACTTTGCACTTGTGGAATGCAGATGCTGTGGGCTTTGGTGGCTTGAAGAAGAAATAACTATTCTTGTCTGTCGTAGCTTTTTCGACTAGTCCCCGTTCGGGATTGTTGAACTGTAGCTTTACAACAGCCCCATATAATCACACAAAAATAAAATTTAGATTTTATACATTATGCTCAAAACTAATCGAACAGTACTGTTGTCCAGCAAGTGTAGACGCTCCCATGAAGGTTCCGATTCCTTTGTACTTGTAGGACTCGCAATATACAACACTTAGAACAGCCAAAACTTCCTTCTAACTGGGTAACTTGGAAGAGGAGTTGGAGGCTTCGCTGGTGAAGGGCTACGACGCTTCACCTGTGGTGGAGTGGAAGGCTTAACTGGAGGTTGGCATGGGATGGTGGTCCTTGTGGTGGGGTGCCGGGGCTGATGCAGGCGGGTGGAGTACTGGAGGTGGTACCTTGGCAGCACCAACGAAATCACTAAAGACTGTGAAGGAGCTACACAGTAGCACCATAAGAGCAAGAACTTTTCCTAAACCTCAAGCCATTGTGCCCAAAGTGAAGGTTTAATGAACTGAACTTCAAGTTTTATGGAGTGAGTATTGATAAAGTTGATATTCACTGACACGATCCCCCCTGAATCACCTTAATAGACTCGACATGTGTCATGCACCGATGATAGATATCAGCTAAACGCCGGACCCACCACCAAGGCAACTTTGACTTGCTTGACTAAAAGAAAATATTTTTAACAGAATTTTGACAAAGTTTCCCCTAAAATACGAACTAAAACCACCTGAACAATAATCAATTTTCCTCAAATCAATACCTATAATATAAATCAGGGTACGCCAGCCCCTCGAAATACAGCCTATTCAAATAAAATGCTGGAAAATCAATATTCACTTGCTTTACAACCAACAATCCTCAAATATACTAAAGATACCAAATATTTAATGAGTCCATGATGAACTTTTCTGATTTAAACTATATGTATCCCATAAGAACACATAATGTATAATCTCATAAATGATGTCATATAACCTATGGCGCGTGACTCAATTCGGTGCTTCGACAGGCTCCAAAGCTGCTCAATTCGTCTGCTTTCTGTCTCATAAAGAAAAATGTGAAAAATATATGAGTTTAAAACTCAGTGAGTGGATAATTTGTGAATAAGTAAACTTTTCTCATTTATGCATATTTTTTTGAAAATTCTTGCACTACTAAAATTTCTAAAAATTCTGAAATCTGGTAACACTTTTAAAATCAAACATGAATATATCATAAAATTATTTGTTCTTCATTCTAGATAAGTAATTGTAAAATGTAACGAATATAAATAATATGACATTTGTGAAAATCTATGAAATATTGCTGCTACTCAATACTATAAGCTGAAAGCTTTAATCTAAGAATTGAATAGACTGAATTTTATAATCTGAAATCTGATAAGCTGTAGAAATACTGAAAAATCACACCAAAAAGATACCCAATTAATAGCCTTACTCATGTACAGAGTAATCTCGATGTACAAGGCAGAGTCATTCAAATCTGATATTTTGACAATCTGATAATCTAGTCATACGTACGCAGAACTGCCCCAAAGGCTAATCACCCTAGTACATGGCCCAAAGCCTATGTGTGTACGAGAGTGGGGTCCAAGGACCTCTGATAATCTAGTCATACGCTATGAAAATATATACACAATAGTGCAGAGCGGGTAAAATCACCATAACTAATCGTACATTGTGGAAATACATTCACACCAGTGCAGACTGAGGTAAAATCACTTGGGTACTTTTTGATGGTTTTTAGAGGTAACTTTAGCTATACTGAAATATGTAACACAAATAAAACATGCTCATTAAATGATTTAATTGAACTGGATCAAACTTTAAAAATATCTGATTCTAAATCAACTTTATTCTAATAATCATGCTATCAACATAACTTTATAAAATAAGAAATTTGAATTTAATGAATACTTAATTCTGAAAATAAACTTTATCCACTCACTGCTCTATGGATAAAACTCTGGCTAAATTAACCGGCATCTCTCCAAACTTCCACGTCATTGCTTGAAATAACGGTATAATAACTCAAATTAAAAAATGACAATTAAACTAATGCAAAGTCATCACTTAATTCCTCAACTTTCAAATTTTCTCTTGAATCTCCATTTCTCAATACTTGAATGAATTCTCCAAAAAAAAATTTCTCTAACAATTTATCAACTAATCACCATTCATTATCAATTTCATTAAATCACTTGCACTTCCTTAACATCACCACCTTATTTGTATACAACCCCTATACCGAATTTAGTCAAATACATAAACTTCAATATTTGTCATATAACTTCATTCAAACCTTTAAAAATCTGAAAATAAGAACTTTCACAAAAACATCACTAAAATCCCATAATGTTAAAATCTGGTACCAATTTTCCATATTAAAATCTGGTATGAAAACCTTTGACAGAAATAGCATTATTTTGGGCAGATTTTTAAAAACAGCGACTGGATAGGATTTTGTCCAAAATGGCTTGTATTAATTACTTAAAAATGGAGAAATCAACCCCAAATCCTTAATTTAAGTGATTAACATCATATAATCCCAATAAATCAAAGAATAAGAATCTATTTCATAAACCTATTTTCAAAGTTTCCCCCCTTTTCTTTTCTTTTTTTCCAACACTAATAATTCAATATATATTTCTTTGACCACAAATACTTACTAATAACCTTTAATTCTTCCTAAATTTAAGGAATTTTCATAAACCCTAAAATCTAATATCATTCTTAAATAAGCAAAACTTATGCTTACCTTGAAAAATTGAGGAGAAAATCGAGGACTTAACTTATCTTCCCCCTTTTTTTTTTCTTTTCCCTTTTTTTCTTCCTTTCCTTCCCCATTTTTCCTCCTTCCCAGCTTCTGCCCGAATTCTACTGTGTGCATGTGTGTGTTTTTAGTGTAAAATGGGTTTAATGGTAATAAAATAAAGGGGACACTAACTTAAATTGCAAAGGAAGTCCCTCTTCTATAATATAATATAAAGTTAAATCCTAAACTTCCAAAATATATAATTAGATCCCAAATTTTTTATGTTGTCCAACTTAAACCTTCAAAATATTCGTCACAATAAATTAAGTCCCAATTAAAATGAATTATTTCATTTTAGTCCCTTTTGACTTTGACTTTGACTTTGACAATTCAACTTTTGAGTTTTGACTTATTATAATGAGTTGTAACAATCTTGCCTCATTAAAAGAATTTCGTCCTCAAAATTCAATGAACTAGAATTCAAATACATAAATATATAGAGCTCAAAGCATACCTGATCTTCATATTCCCGTGATGTCTCTTCTACTGATTGCCTTCTCACAATTTAACTAGCACACTAATTTAACTGCACAGAATTTATTCTTTCTTGTCCTTGGATTTTTCTTGACCTTTCCTATATCGATATCCTTACAACTATATTAAGACGAGCTCTCATTAATTGCACTAATAATCTTAACTCATATTTTACATCCGATATTTACTAAACTTTAGAAATAGACGATACATTCTTAAATATCAAATACACTGTTGTAAACTTATCATTAAACAATTGACCCAAGGACATGCGGTACATCCGGGGTACCGAAGCGTGTACCTAATGGACACACGACGACCCCTGGTTGGAGGAAGCGCATGTGGACAGTCTGCTGTGGCAAATGAATCTCAAATATGCCAGAAGTGTGGTCGACCAGTTGGTTCAAAAAACTCTGTACCTCGAAAAAGAAGAGAACAGGAGAAAAACCAACAAAAAACTTCAGAAGAAATCACATTAGAAAAAATTGATCAATCAAATATTGAATGTACGGTTCTTGAAGAACCAAAGGTGTCCGAAAATAATGAGATCTCAATAAATTATACGATATCTCATAAATTATGGGAACGGAATAATATTGTTATAAACAATATTTTCGCCTTTAACATGGCTCTTGATATTATGCAAAATGAGGATCTTGAACCACAGTCTGTTAATGACTCTCGAAATAGAAATGATTGACCAAAATGGAAAGAAGTCATACAGGCAGAATTGAATTCTTTGGAGAAACGAAAAGTGTTAGGACTAGTAGTTCGAACACTTGAAAATGTAATCTCTGTTGGATACAAATGAATTTTTGTACGAAAGAGAAATGAGAATAATGAAATTACAAGATACAAAGCCCGACTAGTGGCTCAAGGTTTCTCCCAAAGATCGGGAATTGATTATGAGGAAACATATTCTCCCGTAATGGATACCATCACTTTTAGGTTCTTAATTAGTTTGACCGTGTCACAAGGGCTCGATATGCGCCTTATGGATATAGTAACTGCCTACCAATATATTTCACTTGACAGTGACATATATATATGAAAATCCCTGAAGGATTTAAGGTGCCAGGAATAAATGATACATGTTCGAGAACTATGTTCTCAATTAAATTGCAAAAATCATTATATGGATTAAAACAATCCGGACGCATGTGGTCTAATCGCTTTAGCGAATATTTGTTGAAAGAGGGTTATAAAAATGACGATATCTGCCCATGTGTTTTCATAAAGAAAACAAATATTGGATTTGCAATTGTGGCAGTTTATGTCAATGATTTAAATTTAATTGGAACTCTTGAATAGCTCAACAAAACTGCAGATTATTTGAGAAATGAATTTGAAATGAAAGATTTGGGGAAAACCAAAATTTGTCTTGAATTACAAATTGAACATTTTCCAGTGGGATTATTTGTTCATTAATCTACTTATACAGAAAAAATCTTGAAACGCTTTTATATGAATAGTGTACATCCATTGCCATCATCTATGGTTGTTCGATCACTTGATGTAAAAAAAGATCCATTTCATCCACTTGAAGATGAAGAAAAGATTCTTGGTCCTGAAGTACCATACCTTAGTGCAATTGGAGCATTAACTTATCTTGCAAATTGCACTCGACCTGACATAGCTTTTTCTGTATATCTCTTTGCAAGATATAGCTCTACACCAACTCAAAGGCATTGGAATGGTGTTAAACATATTTTTCGTTACCTAAAAGGTACTATTGATATGGGACTGTTTTATTCTCAAAAGTCAGGATCTGCTTTAGTGGGATATGCAGATGCATGTTATCTCTCTGATCCACATAAAACTAAATCACAAACATGATATGTGTTTACATGTGGAGGAACAGCTATATCATGGAGATTTGTAAAGCAATCATTGACAGCAACATCTTCAAATTATTCTGAGATTATTTCAATCCATGAAGTAGGACGAGAATGTGTATAGTTGAGGAATATGACCTATCATATCCAATCATCATGTGGATTGACTTCAACAAAAGATAATCCAACAATTTTATTTGAAGATAATGTAGCTTATATCGCACAACTCAAGGAAGACTATATCAAAGGCAACAGGACGAAGCATATTTCTCCAAAATTCTTTCATACACATGAACTTCAGAAGAATGGTGACATTGATATTCAACAAATTCGCTCAAGTGACAATGTAGCTGATCTATTCACAAAAGCGCTGCCAACATCTACATTCAAGAAATTAGTTCATGAGATTGGAATGCGTCGACTTAAAGATTTTCAGTGATCAATATCATGGGGAGTAGCTGTACTCTTTTTCCTTTGCTTTGGTTTTGTTCCATTGAGTTTTCCTAACAAGGTTTCAATGAGGTAGCATTTAATTTTAATACTCCAAAGTAACTGTACTCTTTTTCCTTTGTTTGATTTTTTTCCCATTGGGTTTTTATCAAACAATGTTTTAACGAGACAGATATTTTGTAATATGTCATTCAAGAAGTAGTGTTGTAAATGGAAAGTCCATTAAAGTTTGTTGGTGAATGACATTTGTACCACTGTAGCACTAAAAATTATTACCATTATATCCCTGATTCTTACCTATAAATATAGGATTTTGATTTTCAATAATATACACAAAAAGTTTATAGAGTTTTCTCTATTTTCTTTTCCTCTCATTTTATAACAGAAATAAGTATCTATTTCATAAACTCATTTTCAAAGTTTCCCCCCTTTTCTTTTCTTTTTTTCCAAAACTAATCATTCAATATATATTTCTTTGACCACAAATACTTACTAATAACATTTAATTCTTCCTAAATCTCGAATTTAAGGAATTTCCATAAACCCTAAAATCTAGTATCATTCTTCAATAAGTAAAACCTATGCTTACCTTGAAAAATTGAGGAGAAAATCGAGGACTTAGCTTATCTTCTCCTTTTTTTTTTCTTTTCTTTCCTTTTTTTACCTTTTCCCATTTTTTCTTCCTTTCCTCCACCATTTTTCCTCCTTCCCAGCTTCTGCCCGAATTTTACTGCGTCCATGTGTGTGTTTTTAGTGTAAAATGGGTTTAATGGTAATAAAATAAAGGGGCCAGTAACTTAAATTGCAAAGGAAGTCCCTCTTCTATAATATAATATAAAGTTAAATCCTAAACTTCCAAAATATATAAGTAGATCCCAAAATTTTTATTTTGTCCAACTTAAACCTTCAAAATATTCGTCACGATAAATTAAGTCCCAATTAAAATGAATTATTTCATTTTAGTCCCTTTTGACTTTGACTTTGACAATTCAACTTTTGATTTTTGACTTATTATAATGAGTTGTAACATTCACAGTCCCATTTTATTATCTATTCAATTAATTTGACACATTATCAATTTAATGAAAGTGGTGAAATTAATGAGGGTAAATTTGAGATAACATGTCTATAATTAATTCGATGGACAGTAAAATTGTAAAACAATCTTGACGGGGGCTTTCAAGCGGCACATTCTGTGCAATCAGTGCAAAAAAATAAATAAATAAATAAATGTTGCTTAAACTTATAATAATTGACCACTGGCCTGTTTACTAGGGTTGGGCTTACATTTGTGACTTTCAAAGTTTCACTTGTACATTTTTATGGTTAAATGACGAGGGACCCTTGAATTTTAGACAATTACTTACTCTAATATCACGTTAATTTGTTTCATTAAAAAACTAAATCAGAAATGTTAAGAGAAGTTGCTCATATTTTACTTTCAACAACTCTTCTTGTTAATTTTGGAAAATTGCACATTTTACGAGGCTCAAAGAAGTTTCCAATGACTTGTTCGCTTTTCTTTCCAATATAAATAGATTCCAAATGACGTAAATGGTTAAGCAAATTGAATTAAAAACACTTTAATTTACACAATATAAAATGTTCCAAGTGCATAGGGCGGTGCGCTTTGGTCAAGAAAACAGCGGGGGAGTTCGCCCTCTATAGTCTCCTATGTAGGATTTCAAGTTTCCAATTCATTGTGTAAAGCTCCTTGTACAGGAGAAATTATCAAGAAAATGGGAGTTGTTACAGCAACAGAGGGCTAATCGACCCCAGACCAAACCCTACAAATAGGGGGAGAGGTCCTTTTTTTGTGGGTCCCTCTCCCATGTGTGGGGCTCCTGTCGAGGAGGTGGTCAACCTCCCTGTTACAGGAGCAAATTCCCAAGAAAATTATCAAATCCTGATATGGCGAATTTCAATTGACTATTTTAAATCTTTTTTTTTTTTTTTTTTTACAAAATTCAATGAGACTTTGACACTTGACATTCTGACAATTTCACTGACATTCTTCCTATGCATGTAACATCTCTCGATGCGCTATTCCTTGAAAACGGCCAAATTTAGTTTTTTTCTTGTTCTTATCACAAAGCAAAATTCTATTGTTGAAATCCATGGTTTATCTTCTTGTCAAATATATCGACATATCATTATTTTACATTTTTTGTTTATGAATTAATCTCACTTGTTATTATCTATCTAGCACATCAAATATGTCTCTTAAGCAACATTTGGGATTGCTTTTAGAATTCAACTTATGATTGTCAAAGAATCAGGAGTTGTTTTAGGGTTAAGTAAATTTTAAAAAAGATGCCTAAAGAAGAATTTGTACCATCGACAATATATTTTAAGAAACAATCAAATGTAAAATTTTAATCTGCCTTTAGCTTTTTCACTTATCTATGATTAAAATATTAATTAAAATTAAAGTAATTTCCTTTATGAGAGGTTTATT